AAATGGGAGATTGAAGAGGCTCTGTGAAAAAAAGAGCTGACAACCTTAAAGATTATAATTGTTAGAAGACTGTTATAAAAGAAGGGGATATAAAGTTGGTGTATTTGATCAAGGTTACCATCGATGTCTTATTATTTCCGGTAACCCTTAATGGACTTTAACTTTGACCAAAACTGAAATGACAATGCTTTATGGATTTGTTTATGGAAATAAGATCTGGGAAAAATAGACAATTTGTTGTATTTTAAGAGGACATGATAAATTACTAATATTTATATTTGTGATGCACATTGTAAGTCACTTCTTTGTATATTTTTCTTTTTTTATTTGTACTTTTCTTTCGTCTCCATTTTATTCTTTCTTTTCTACACTGTCTGCTCTTTTTATTTTTATTTTTTAGTTTCTATTTTTATTGTTGTACCTATAATCATTAATTATAACTTTACTATAAAAAAGAAATGAAAAGCAAAACCATAAAATGGAAATAGGTAGAAATGTGGTATCAGTTTCAGGATAATATTCAGCATAAATTATATAGTTTTACTAACAAACAGTTCTAGTGAATTCAGCTGTGTTTATTTCAAGGAAGTAGACATTTTCAATCTAAAAGAAACAAATGTAGACTGAAAGACTGCACTATTGTTTGGAATTAATAATTCTTTTTAGAAATTACAAAAATATAAAATAAATTACCAAAATTATTTTACAGATCTTTCTCTACAAAAGTCCATGGGGGAAAATACTTTTACAATTTAATTGCTGAGCATAATGTTGAAAACTAACCTCTAAAGAGAAGAATAAGCAATAGGATATGACAAAATTATATTTTATTATTCACATTAAAACTTTAAATTGTCCCTGGAACTGAAATGGAAGCCAACAAGATTCATTTATTACTAATGAATGAACACAGTTCATGAGCTGTATTAAGTAACAGGGGACGGGGGAGTTAGGAGATTCAAACTAGCATATCTTCTGCCTTTACATCTTCCCACCAGTTAGTTATATGAGATGTATAGAATGGCACATGCCTCACTAACTGGAGATTAACAAACATGCCTAACTGAAGCAGAGCTATTTTTTCTGTTTTAAAAATATGCTGAAAGCCTTCAGAACAGATTTAAACATAAACATAAGCAACAATTACAAATGTAACCTTGACTCTCTAATCAGAACAGTATGGACATTCTAATGAGTTTCTAGAAGGTACAAGATAATTCAATCTCCTTTTCTATTGGTAATCCAATCTACAAATCTATAAACCAATGCTATTGCTATGAAATTATATTGTTTCTTTCTATGAAGTGAGTGGGGAAGATCCTGAAATAAAAGCTACAGTATATCAAATAAGGAACTAGTAGATTAGCATGTATCAGACCTGAATTAGGACCAGAATAAACTTCATTGTATATGAAAGCAATTAGATTAACAATGTTTCAATATTTGAGGGGCTGCCACAGAGAGGAAGAGGTCAAGCTATTTTCTAAAGCATCTGTAGGCCAGACAAGGAATAATGGATGGAAACTGAACCTGGAAATAAGGAGAAATTTTCTGACAGTGAAAACAATCAAACAATGGAACAGCTTGCCCTCGGAAGCTGTGGGAGCGCCATCACTTGAGACTTTCAAGAAGAGATTGGACTGTCATTCGTCAGAAATGGTGTAGGGTGCACTTCCAGTTTGTAAGGCTTCGGCGGCGGTAGGAATCCACGATCGTGCGCGGTTCCTGCTGCACTCGCTGCTGGAGTGCCCCCGATCCAGCTGGATTTGGAGGCTATGGTTACCCCGTAGAGGTTACTGAAGATAGGGGAGATCCTGGTAGGGGTCCGGGGATATCGCAACCCCCCTTCTCAGCCGGCACAACTCCCTTTTCCAAAGGTGGTGGAGCGGCGGTCAGCAATGGCCGCCACAAAGAAGCTTGCAGCCGGACAAGATTGTGCAGGAGGAAGTCTGAGAAAGTGAAAGTTTTTGGCTGAACCGGGACAATAAGGAACATCTAAATACCCTGGAAATTTAATTTTTTAAACGATACATTGTTTCCTAAGAAGATCATAAAAAGCGGCGGAAGAAAGTGGAAAGGGAAAGTTTATTTTTTCTCACTCTCCTTCCCTACGGAAATAGCAGATGGAAATTGGAGAAACCTGCTTTGGCACAGAAAGTAACTAAACTTGAAAATGAAAGCCAAGGGGATATTAAAGATTTCTGAACATTGGAATTAAAAACTAAAATCTTTTTGCTATAAGTGTGAAGGGAGAGGTAAAGAACTTATATTAAGATTTTACTGGAGGAGACTGCTTGGAGCTTATAAGATCAGAGATAAACGGCAATAAGACTTCTAAAAAATTATTTTGGAACTGTGCAATTGAATTCTACCCCAGGAAGAGAAAGTATAAAAAGAAGAAAGTGCTAAATGAAACAGTTTGTCCTGATTTCGGTTGCTTTGTGACTTTGTGACTTTTGGAAACTATTCCTTGAAAGACTAAAAACATTTGGGTTGTTTAAAAATTTTTTTTTATAATGGCATTATCTGTTAAAGAATAGAAAATGGAATTCCAAAAATTAAAAGAAGAGGAACAAGAAGGCAAAGGCTCTTCTGGATCTATTTTTCACTTTTTAGAAATGGCGATTTCTACCTACCAGGAATTACAACAACAAGAAAGCTGGGATGAAGAAGAAGAAGCCATCTTTAATGGACAAATAATCTTTGCTGAGGAAGAAAAGGGAAAGAGGGGAAAGAAAACGGAGAATTCAGAACTCAAAAAAAGCAACCAAGAAAGGGAAAAATAAGGTGAAAAATCGATACAATGTCAGAAAGCAACAGAAAAAAGGAATACAACAGAGAGGGGAGACTAAGAGAGCAGAGATTGAGAGATGGGGGGGGTAAAAAGGTTAGAATCGACAAGAAAGGAAGGGAAAAAGGGAAGAGAAGTCATAAAGGCTTAAAACAAGATGTTAAAAAACAGGGTTTTTTTTAGAGACAAAGGGTAAAATACAATTTAAAAAAAGATTCTGCAAAAGTACATAAGATTGTATTGTAATATTAGTATTTGAAATAGACCTAGAAAATTGGAATACTATATGAGTTAACAATACATTAAAGGGAATGTATAAAATGTTTAAGATTTAATAATAGAGTTTAATTTCCTATGGAATATTGTTTTTACTATATTATAAGCTTTTTTTTTCTTATTCTAAAATGTAGTATGTAGAATGTACTAAGCAGAATCAGTATGGAAATTATGTATTATTTTGAGTGTTAAATTTAGGGGAAAGATAAAAAGGCGTCATACTTCAACCAGTGATTACAGGAGAAATATTGTATTAGAAAGAAAAGATAAATAGATAATTGAAAAAGAATGGACAAAAGATGCAAGTATAATGATTTAAATCGAGATGAAATAAATAAAATAGAATTAAGAGAGTGAATAGAGAGAAAACATATAGAAAATATAGAATGTTAAATAAGATACGAAATAGTATATAAGGTGAGCATGAATTTGTACAAAAAGATGTAACCTGGGGTTTCCGCTTTCCAAAAAGAAGTTTTATGTATTTATGTTTTGTGTTTTGTTTGTCTATGTTTGTCTATTGAGAATTAATAAAATTTTAGAAGAATGTTGGGAGAGAACAATGAAACTGTAAACAAGATAGATGGAAGTATACGATGAATAAAAAGATATAGAAATTTAGGCAAAAGAAATATAATTGAATAGAAGGAAAGGGAGAAATAGAGAGCTGGAAAAAGATACGAAGTTGAATATATAAGATAAATATGCAGATCCAATTGTGTTTGTATGGAAATGTGATAATTTGGAATTATGCTGTTTCCAAATAAGATGTTTTATTTGTTTTGTTAAAATTCAATAAGCAGTTCTCAGAAAAGATGTCTTATGTTCTTATATTTTATGTCTTGTTTGTTTGTATTGTCCTTAAAAATTAATAAAATTTGTTTTTTTTTTAAAAAAGAAATGGTGTAGGGTCTCCCACTTGGGAGGGGATTGGACTAGATGACCTACAAAGTCCCTTCCAACTCTGATTATCTGTTATCTGTTAGATTGTACAACATTTGATATATAATTACTTGGTCCTATTTGTAAAAATTAGGAGAGGGGCTATCCACCCTTGATCGCCGATCTCCCAAAATTATTTTTCTCAGCTGTTTGCTTTTTAAAAGAAGCCATGGAACTTGCTTAGAAATGCAAGTGCTATAGTTATCAAAACTACAGTAGGAAGAGAAAAGCATATCCTCATATTGTGTTTTCCTTTAGATACTCTTTATTATAGCAGTAACATTCTAACTGCATATCTCTTTAACCCTAAGATAATCCATTAAAATTTAATAATACCCTATATTTCTTTTTCCTCCCAAGGTACTGTAGGTAGTACAGTTAACAGCCATATATGATATAATGAGCCTATAAAATACATCCAGTGTTTTGATATTTTTGCTCTTCTTCAAGTTTACAAATATTTAATTGTAAACAGTTGAACAGCTGATGCTCATTTATCACTTAGATTGTAGGAGTTTTCCGTTTACATACTGTAACTAGTATTACATTATTGCCAGAATAACGGCTATATGAATATATCACACATGTAATTAATGAGCATCACTTAGAAATAGAAATAAGTAGTAGGAGGTAGCTATTTAAAAACATTGAGTCCAATCCTATTGCTTAGTGCAGGAATTCCATCTAATCATCTCCATCAGATGGTTCTGTCTGAAATGTTAAATGGTTATGACAAAGTCTCCTAAAGTATAAGATTGTTAAATAATGGGCTAGAGAATGCAAAATAAACTATTTAATGCATAGATGTTCATTATGAGAGAGAGACAGAGAGAATTGATACAAATATGTCTTTTAATAAGTTGCAACACCTTTTTTCTGCCTTTAATTTTAAACAATGTATCAATGTATTCTTCCTTTAATTTTGAACAATGTATCTTCTTTCTAAAATTCCAACACACTGGTTAAAATATGATATCATCCACTTATTTACCTTGGCCTTTTCACCAATGACATTTCTCTCCAACTCTGCTATCTTCCTGTTCAAATGATCTACTATTTCCTTCTCCTTGAGCAGTTCAGCTGTTTCAGATTTCTGCTCTGCTTCCAATAGGGCACATTCCATATCCATCTAAGAACATAAAAAATTTCTCTACCTCAATTTCCTTCATAAAGTAATTCCAACATAGAGTATATCTTGAAAGTTTACTTATATATGATATACATTTGAATACAAACACTGTCCTTAGAAAGAAACAATGGTTTAAATAGATAAGCATACCTAAACAAACAGAAAATGCTGCAAAATATTGAATGCATAAATCAACTACAACAAGCTTATTTTCACAAAATGTCTAGCTCTTTTGGCTTGTAGTTTAAGAACTTCCTCGTGACAAATCATTGCACTGGCACACTCGAGGAAAAATAAGATTGCAAGAAAATAAAATGGAAATGTATATAATTGGGCTGAAATTAGTAGGAATGTATTGAGAGGATTCTTTACAAATAGCATTTAGACTTATATGCCACTGCATCATGCTTTACAGCACTCTCTAAGCAGTTTATAGAGTCAGCATATTGCCCCTCACAATCTCGGTCCTCATATTACCAACCTCAGAAGGCTGGAAGTCTGTGTCAACCTTGAACTGATGAGGATTGAACTCCTGACAGTGAGCTGAATTAGCCTGCAACACTGCATTCTGACCACTGCATCATCACAGCTCACGTCTTTGAATGCTCTGGGCTTTCAGAAGTACAATTTACTGAACATCATATAGTATCCAGAGGAATTGTTATATTGGGTATCACTGCCAGCAGTAATCAGTTCAAACTGATTATCTATCTGCAATATTCTTATATTTACAAAATGTAAGTACAACATATTGTAATATTCTGCCAGACTAATCATCACAGATATAATTCTTTAAAGATGTAGTACAGAATAAATCCCAACAAATTATTTATTTATTCAATTAATTAATTTGTATGCTGCTCATCTCTACAGGAAAGAACTCTGGGATTCTTAAATTAAGTCCTAATTTACCAGTATCTAATTTACAGTCTAGATTATAACTACTAAATCTAATTATCCTACTCTTGCATCTGAATTATATTAATGTCTAGGACTAATTCCATGTAGGAAAGTGCTAAAAGAGTTAGCTAATATTGTAAGTGAAGTTAAAAGGTATAATTATTTCTTTCTTCCTTCACTTTATTTGTGGTCATGAAATGTTTTTTTTATGAGAAATACCATTTTAATTATCTGTATAAATGTCTTGAAACTAAGTATGAATTCCAGAACAAGAATTTATAGCATATTTAAAAATGAAAATCCATCATTCAGAAATAAAAAAGAGATCTTATACCTCTCTGGAGGATTCATCCATCTGATCATTTAAGTCTTTGATCTTTTGTTCAAGTTCTTCCAGGTTATTTAGTATTATAATGCGCTGTTCTTCCATTTGATTAAGTTCTGATGTTATTTGTTCATTGCTTATGCATTCTGGTGACTGTAACAAATCAACAATTGCCTTTTTTAAAAGAGCTTTTAAAGGAAGAACATGTCTTATCATTTTTCTTTCTTTTCTTAAAAACAACTAAAAATTAATAATAATAACTTAATAATTAAGTAATCTGTTACAGTACATTCTAGAATAATCATTCATTTTCATACATTTTTTTCCTATAAACAAAATAAGCACAAACACAAAAAGCATGCAGAAAGCATAATTATTGTTAAATTATTTCAGAGTTTGGTACGAAAGTTCTTCAAAGTGTAATTCTATAAATCCTATTTAGCATGTTTCCTACAATGTTTTAGTTAAAGGAATCAGGCTTGAAAGTGGGTGGCAACGAGTTCTAGCTCTACCTTAGGCAATTGTGCAACCTTGATTACAGTCACATTCTCTCAGCCTAGGAATAAGGCAACAAACAGCAAACTACTTCCAAAAATCTTGCCAAAAAAACCCTTATCCAGACAGTCATCAAGACTCAACACAGATTCGAACAGGAAAAAAAGAAAGGAAGAAAAGATATATTCTCCCCTTGAGATATGTTTTTTCCCTTACTGATAATATCTTTTGGTCATTTTATCTGTAAGTTTTGAAGATAGTCTGTTTGAACTAGATGTCTACACATGAAATTAAAATGCTGCTCTCTTTACTTTTGACTACTGATATAACTGCAATCTGTGTGATTATGCCTATGATTCCTTCCTGTCATATCAAAGGAAGATACATTTTTTGGAAAGCAGATTTTGCTGAAAAGACACCACACCTGAAAATTACAGCTTTCTTTTGTGTATTGGTAATGATAATCAATCACAAACTACACTGCAATCTGTTTCTGCTTCCAGAAAAGAATTGTCTTTCCCTCTCCCACCCATCCTCCACAAAAAGAGTCTTTGGAACAGTCCTAAAAAGAAAAAAGTAAGTATGTCTGGAATTGCTGTTTGGCAAAATATACCAACAGTTAAAATATATTTATGAACCTTCCACCAGAAAAGTATTCTATTTACCTTTGACATAATGCTTAGATAGGGAGATTCAGTGACATCCTTAAGGAAAGCAGAAGATAAAGGTGAACTTGTCCTGTTGCCATTTAAATGTTTATTTGTTCCTCTTGAAGAAAAGAAACCCATAGAATTTTGTCCAAGATCATTGAATTCAGAGAAATCAGAATCTTCAGCTGGAAGCTGCAAATGATCTCTGAATCTTGAGTCTGCTATTATCTGAGAATCTTCAAAGACTGAATCTTCATCAGACAACTGGAGTTTTTCAAGTTCTTTATTAATTTTCTGAACATCAGCTACGGTAGTGACTGTGGCAGGTTCATTGTCAGTCTTGGAATATTCTGCACATAGATTAAGAATGGTCTCGAGTCTCTGGCGCTCCTAATATCAAAACAAATAATTAAAAATAGAATATATATCACAGTTTCACATATTTTGTGGGCATCATAATTTTTTTCAGGCATGTCAATCAAACTTTATTCTAAACTATGAATATTTATATTAAATATACAGATTAAAGGAGAACTTCAGTATTTAGAAATTCAGAATCAAAATCCAATGAATAATCAGAATGGCACCATCAGTGAAAATTGGCTAGCACTTTATCATTCAATCACAAGGCCTTAAGAAAGGCAATTTCTCATAAAACTCATAAAATCAGAAACTGAATATAATTTGCAGTTGAAGGCATTCAAGAGTCACCGTGAACTATGAGATGGGTAGCAAATAATTGATAGACAGACAGACAGATACAATTTTGTGCAAAATTGACAGTGAAATGATGGCTTTCATTTTCTTGTAGTCTGTAAAACTGAAGACATTTCTCAACCTAAAAAAGAAATACAAAAGAAAGAAAAAAAGCCTATCTCATGGCATCCAAGGAAATAACAAAGACTATCTCTTCCAAGTCCACTATAAACCCTGAGCATTAACTAAAAGTCAAGACTATTCAAGGAAATAACTAGTTTTACTATGCTGACTATTGATTTTGCTTTGAACTTCTGTGTCTGCTTTTGTCTTCCCTTGCTTTCTCCATATTTCTTTTTCCAATGAGATCTTTTGAAGGACCACATCTCCCCAGCCCACCAGAGCAGGAAGAAAACGGTATGTTAGAGGCCCATCCATTACAGCGGCAAAACTTGTAGGACCAAGGAAAAGTCCTTCTCTATGGTGCTTGCTTCCCTTTGGAATATTATTCTCCCAATGACTGAATTACATAACGAAGTTACTTAACAAAGTAAAACCTTGTTACTCTTCTGGAAGACCTTGACTATGTGGTTTTGTCAGGAGATCTGGGGACCCTTCACTGATACAGAGTCAATCAAGTGACTGGAGTGAGTATGGAAAGGAAATTTTACACTTTTATATTTTAATGTTGTAAATAACCCAGAGTCAACGTGTGTGAATTGGGTGGCCTATAAATTCGTTTAAAATAAATAAATATCTATGGCTTCAGCTTCACTACTTTAATACGGGAATGTATCATTAGATAATACTCTAATGAGTATTATCTAATGCAAGCTTGGATAGTTACACTTTTGTATTTCAAGCCTGCAATAAGCTTTGTTCTATATTTCTATTGGTGGCTACCTACAAATAAAGAAGCCTTCAAAGATTATGTCTTTCATAAGTCTTCTGCATGTAAGACAAATTTTTTTAAAGAAAAAGTATAGATAATTTTAAAAAAAGCAATATCCTTATACTGTACTCCTTGGAATTTCTTGAGTTTCCATAATTGGTCTAAAAGCAATTAAGACGATGGTAAAAATTATATTAGCATAAACAAACATAAACAGCAAACTGTATGATAATTTCACTTTACTAACATCTTACTGAATTGCTGATTCATACCTATTGAGAAAGTCTAGTCTATTTTACAACATAACAATATTACAAAATCTATTGCTAACTCAAGAGTTTTCTATCTTTAAGTGAAATATGTCACAATTTTAAGACAATGTATTTTTCAATCTATAAGCTAAGGTACCTTAGAAGATTACTCTGCATTAAAAAGCAGTAACAATGAACACAAATACTGAGAAACTTCATTTGAAGATACATATTCTTCAGAGTATTTTATAGTGGTGTTCATTTCTCAAGAAAACCCAAAACAATAAATTCAAATTCTGCTTTTCTTAAGTACAAAGGTAAGAGAAAGCAGATATAGACATTAGATGTAATCAAAGCCTTTGTTTAATTACTTAGAAAAGCCTGTTGAATTCAAAGGGTATAATCCTAAATAAATGCACATAATAAGTACTGAAGCCTGGTTAACCCTTTGCTTTAGCAGGAATTGGAGAGTGTCAAGTTCAATAACCATGTTTGCATATCCATGAAATTAATTCAGAAACTTCTTTATTACAAGAAAAACTAGTCTCTTAACTATCCAATTCACAGTTGATTTTTAAATCTGCCTAACCTATGTAGAAAAGCTCAAATGTGGCATTAAAAATTAAGTTTATACTTTTAAATTATCCCTTAATTTAAATTCCCTTCCTTCCTCTTTTCAAACAAAACATTAAATTAGGAAGACAAAATGACAATGAAATCCTTGCACCTTAAAACTCTTTTCTTCCCTCAAAGCATTTTCACCGTAAGCCTTCAGCTCTCTCTTCTTTTGCTTAAACAGTGTTTGTTCTCTTCCTCTTAAACCTGAGTCCTTGGAGTACCCAACCCATTTCTGAAAGCTCCGTCTGACTGCTGGCCAGGAACACCAACATTCAGCCATTACTTGCTGACTTTAATGCTACCTTCACTGCAGTAATTAAGAATTGAAATAAACAGTGCTTCCTCTCTGAGCCAACCCGCACGTATAGTGACAGGATATGTTCAATTTGGTCTCTTTTTCCCCACTCACCCTTCAGAATGCAGGATGTATCAAATAGTAGCCCACACACAAATATTTTCCCCTGCCCAGTTCCAAATGAATGCAGCCGAGGTGTAGTTTGACAATGATATGTACCAAACTCTTACTTTTGGACAGAATGCTATCTTGGCATTATACATATTTCTATTCTTTGAGAGGAAAAAAAAATCTACCATTACCAGCAGTTAAAAACACAAATTGGTAAAAGGAAGTTTCTCTCTCTGTCTCTTGCAGAGAGACACAGAGAATGAACATTCTCTCTCTCTCTCTCTTTCTCTCTCTCTCTCTCTCTCTCACACACACACACACACACACACACACAGAGAGAGAGAGAGAGAGAGAGAGAGAGAGAGAGAGAGAGAGAGAGAACTGAACATAGTAAGAAATGACAAATTCTTGCTGCTTACCCCATTTTTACAAAAATGCTTCTACCTTTAAGCAAGAAATATACCTCCCTTGGCTTTGATCACTACTACACTGGTAATTGGGTAACATGTTACATTACATCATTTCTATTTCAAAGTGGACAACGTGATATCAGAGAACTTATGTTCAGGAAATTCTTGGGGCTGTTATTTTGTGGCATCTATTTTCACCACAGGACTCCAGCTATTCCTTATTTCACTGCACTTTCATTCTATAAATGTACAGTAAACTGTGTTTTTCAAGCCAATTCAAATGTGTGTGTGTGTGTGTGTAAATACATAACCAACAGTTTATCTTTATGTAAAGTATTGTATTTTAAAATACAGATAGCTGATCTGAGTGGTTGGTCACCACTCAGTTTCTTGTTTTCAATAAAAGTGATAGGAAAATAACTCTCAAATAATAGAGTCAAATATGAGAGATGTACTCCAACAGAATTTTAAGCCCCCTTTTCTTTTTTATTAATAGAATCATAAAATATTGGAAAGGACCATTGGGAAAAATCCTATCAGTAAAAGCTATTTAACAATTAAAATTACCTTGGGACCTTGGATCATGTAATTCAATCATCTTTCAGTGAAATCCATTCTTTCAACCTTCTGCTAAATGGGCATCCTATTTAAACAACCTCAAGATAATTTTTCATTGTTAAATCATCAATGTGAAGATAGCTATTGTTTCCTCAGAGTCTTATTTGCCAGCCAAAATAAACTCCAAACCTGCAATCATTACTTTATTATTATTATTCCATGCCACTTACCATCCTGGATGCTGTCCTCTGACATTCTGAAAGTGTGTTGTCAAAAGTGGACACAGTAATCCAGGAGCTGTCTGGATTATTACAATAATATAATACACAATAAAATTACATGGCTGCTATCACATGGTACCTATTTAAAAATCCCACTGTCCTACATATACCTATCCTGATAACTGACTGCAACTTCTTATTATATATTAACAAATATCACTGGTTTCTTTGATTTTAAGATTCTAGGCAGTTAAAAAAACTAAGTAATAATGATACATCCATAAGCTCAATATACATATACAGTTAAAGCCATTATGCAATAACATTTTGTTAAAAATTGTTTAATAGTCACTATTCTTACTGAGATACAGAAGAACGTATTTCTATAAGTTATGTAATAAATACATAACTTTACTAATGAAAAGAAATAGATTTTTCTCTTTTAAAAAAAGCATCTTAAGGAATATGGAATTAATACATACATTCTACACACTTATATACACATACACATGGCCACCAGAATATTAAAGGATTACTGGACTAGAATGTAAGTATATTGACTCATCTATAGTTTATTCATTGCTGAAATAAATAAAACCAAATATCTATGTGACTATATGAATGAAAATCAATTATTTTTAATTTAAGACTACCATCTAGAGGTAAAAGTGTGAATTTCTTTAAAAAACTGAACATGAAATTCTCAGCTTAGGCACTAGAGGCAAAATATTTTTTCCATTCAACTGCTTGCCTATCTGGATATTCACCACTGTTAATTTTAAATTTAGAATTTTAAAATTAGAATTTGGAATATAGAATGTATATTTTTTTTCAAAGGAACAAAATGTCAAATTGACTTCAATTCAATAGAATTTGGGTTTTCCTTTGTTCTGATTACTCCCTTCCAAGCACAGCTGAATCAAAAAGTTGGTTGTAGCACTGCAACCAACAGTTTTAACTAAATCACAACCTCAAGAAGCTTCTTGAAAGGACAACTGAACTAGTACAAGTGAGTTGACCTTCAAAACATTTATCAATTAGATGCATTATTCTACTTGTGAATGCCCCCACAATGTTTGAATGCACAGGATGCTAAAAGAGAAAACCAATCAAGCGGGAGGAAATTCCTTTATGTATAAACATGCACTCACTTTAACTTTTTAACATGTTTCAAAGCAAATGAACTCATATCCTGTTCAGAAAAACAAAACTATTTGTACAAAGGAAACAGCTGTCAAATAAATTGGAAAATTTTTTTGTCCTGTCTCTAAACAGAAAATGGTTACTTTCAGCCTTTATAAAGGTATAATGGAAGAAGTCATCAGAATAATTCATTGC